GCCTCCAAGAAGATTTTGGGCCATTCCAGCACAGGATGGAGGAAAAAAAAGCTCTGGGAGGATTGGGGTGAGCAGATAAAGCCAAAAGAGGTGGGATAAGTCCCCAGGAAGTTTCAGCAGTAACACCTCAGTGCAGGTTTTTATCTGTCCCCAGCTGGCAGGAGGGAGATGCTGCCATCCCAAATCCCATTTCTGCAGGTTGATTCCAGCAGGAGGAACAGGACAGCTCCAGAGGAGAGCTCTGGCTGCCCCATGGCACCCCCAGCACCCTCTCCCAGGATCCCACAGCTGCCACACAGAATCTCCAGTGCTCCGGGTGTAGCTTTGCCCTCAGAGCTCCCCACAGCCCAGTGCTGGTTCCTGTCACCAATATCCACCCTGGGCTGGATCAGGAATTCCCAATCCAGCTGGATCAGGCATTCCCAAAGCAGCTGGATCAGGAATTCCCAATCCAGCTGGACCAGGCATTCCCAAGGCAGTGTTTGGCTGCTGGTGACACACCTGTCCTGGTGCCACTGGCACACACCCCCCCCTCCAGCTGCTCCAGGGGCTCTAAGAGCTGCATTCAACACATTTGGGTGCAGAAACCAGCTTGGAAAAAAGAGTTTCTCCCTTGGGAGATGCAGGGCTCTCCTTGTCCTCTCCAGCAAGGCACGGACCCACTTTTTTCTGCCCCATTTTTCCAAAGGGGTGAGGGACCAGGAGCCATCACACACGCACAGGGCTGACAGGAAGGGAGTCACTCCCTCCTAAACCACTCCAATATGGCAAGGCAATGTTAACCAGCTGGGAAAGTTCTTTAAAGACCCTTAATTAAAGGCTGGCTGTTGCACAGGCCCCCTTCCCATCCCCACCAGCAGCGTTTCCCAGTTTCCCGGCCTCTCTCCCACTGCCCTCCATCCCTAACACTTTCCTTCCCTCTGGCATCTGCCAGCAGCGTGCTGTGGCTGCCAGGGGGGGTCTTCAGCAATCAGCCATCAGATGGAAGTTTTAACTCAGAGTAAAAGGAAAAGAAAAGGGGGAAAATTCGCTCGCTGTTGATTTTCAGGCGTGGCTGCCAGCACGGACAGCAGCGCTCGGGCAGAGCTGGCTGTGCCTTCCCAGCAGTGGCTTAGTGATCTGCATCAGCACTCCCAGCCACATAAACTGGGGAAAATGGGGTTGGATCAGCCCTTTCAGCTCCATTCTCTCCTCCAACACCAGCTGTGGCATCACCATGAGCCAGCCCCAAAGGCTCGGGCGATCCCCCTCCTCCTGCCCATCCCATGTGTGCCCATTCCCCAGGGAAGGAGCAGTGGTGGCAGTACCCCATCCCATGTGTCCCCTCTACCCATGAGGGGTTCACAGTTAGGGCCTGGGCTCCCCTCCTGCCAGGGGAATCCTGCCACCAGAGAGACATCAATTTATTCTTTTTATTCTTGTGATATAAATTAATTGAGGCAACGCCTTGCTGCTTCAAATGGGAGCGTAAATTTGGCATTTGCAGGTGATGGCTGCACACAACCACACTGCTGCAGCCCCCAAAAACAGCAGGAAGGACACTCAACACCCCTGGCAGCATCTCCCACTTGCCAGGCCGTGCCAGCTCCTGCTCCCTGAGTGGAAATCCTGCAGGGAAGCTCCAGTGCCTCCTCCCAGCTTTTGTATCCCCCATGGGCCATTCCCTGGCAGCCTCACCTGGGGAATGTGGTGTGGGACACACACATGTGGCAGCAGGGAAGGGGAATGGGGATGGATGGGCATTTCCAGGGAAGAGCAAGACTTTCCCTGTTAAAGGTTATAAACATTCAAGATGAAATGTGGGGCTGAAAATCAGCCCTGCTGCTCTCCTCATCTCCAGACCCACGCAAAAGCAGGGAAGTTTTAACTTCTTGCTTTTGGAGCTTTTTTTTTTTTTCTCTTTCTTCCCTATTTTTGTTCTTTCCCTTCTGTCCTCCTAAATCTGGTATAACAGAAAAAGGAGTAAATAAAAAAATTTGGAAAGCTTTTCCAGCCCTGCTCTTCCTGGCTTATGAAGTGGAATGGAGAGGGAGGCCCAGAGCACAGGAACCACAAAACTTTGGATAGCTGGATTTTCAAAACAAAACTGAGTCTAGAAATGGAAACTTTGGTTAACTGAGATGGGGATGAAAACTTCATTTCATACTTGGCTGCAAAGCTGGATCTTCATCATCCTCTTGCTCTGGCACTTCCCCAACCAACCTGGTGCTCCAGGGACATTTTTCCAGCTCCACAAGCACGGGGTGTTTTGCCATCATCTCCTGAGCAAGCAGCTGCCCAAACTCCCTCTGTCCCAGAAAACACCAGCACAGCTCAGCATCCTCTCATTACAGCTTTATTCCCAGAGGTTTTGAGCAGGAAGATCCAGCAGTGACACCTGTCCCTGATCCTCTGTGGCAATTTCAGAGCAATTCCTCCCAGAGGAACTGTGGCTGCCCCTGGATCCCTGGAATTGTCCAAGGCCAGCTTGGATGGGGCTTGGAGCAGCCTGGGATGGTGGGAGGTTTGATGGGGTGGCACTGGATGGGCTTTAAGGCCCCTCCAACCCAATTCCAGGATTCCATGACCCTGGAGAATGAAATGTCCCACTGGAGAAGCGCTCAGTGAGTGCTCAGAATTCCAAGGAATCTCTTCTCAAACTGAAACCTCCGCGGCAGCACAAGTGGGACAGGGCTGCTGTCACCATCCTGCACTGAAACACTTTCTTTGGAGCACATCGCTCCACTGGAGCTCTTGAAAGCACCACAAACCGAGGTGGATTTAAGCCTGCGCTTGGCTCAGAGCAGGAGCCGGGAGATTTCATCCCCTTCCTACCAAAGCTGCTTTTTTTTGTCTTGATCTAATGAAGTGCAGACTTCACCTGGACAGAGCCGTAAGTGGCTCCTCTCGGAGGCAATGAATACAAATACTTGACCTCGTGAGCTGCGGGGCAGCAATTAGTTTAAGCAGGGGGTTTGTGTAACACTTCAAAAGTCTTAATCCGTGCGGTCAGCCCTGGCACGGTATTTGCCAGAACCCATTGAGTAGTCTTAATGAGTCTGCAAAGCGAGCTTTCAATACATTTTGGGTCGCTTCAGATGCTTTAAATGGCATAGTCTATATGGTATTGTGCGGCTTTAGAAAGGGCCGGGCTTTAAAAAAGTATGGTTCCCTTTCACAGGGCAGACAGAAACCATCTTTAGAGCCGGGACCCTTAACGTTTTGCATATCAATACGGCTGGGGCTGAATGCAGTCACTCAGCTGAGAAATAGGATCACTATCAGCGTTTCCAGGCTTTCACAGGCACTTGGGAAACTTTAAAGCCCTTCGTGGAGAATAATTTGGTCGAATGTCGTGGCTGGAAACAAAACCTAAACAAGCAGAGCGCAGTCCATCATGCGGAGCTGCCAGCGAGGCTGACAAGGGGCTCCAGCCGCTCGACATCCCATCCCCGGCGGGGCGGTGACCTGGTGGGACACGGACCTGGGGGACACAGCCGGGGGACCCGAGCCCATCCCCACAAAAGCTCCATCACCCCCAAGGCGCTGGGATTACAAGATTTTGTCTCCTCTCGCTCCTCCTTGGCAATATCCCGGTTTTTGTCGCTCAGCCTGGCTCACCTGGAGCCTGTCCCGGGAATGAACGGGAACGTGTCCGACCTCCCCCGCAGCCCGGAGCATGGGACAGGAAACAAACCGCACCTCCAGGGACTCGAGAGAGGTGCCAGGACCCCAGAGCTGTGCGGGACCAAACCCCAGGGGTGGGTGTGAAAGCAGCCGGAGCTTGGAGGAAAAGGGACGAGGTCCATGGAACATTCCAGAAGTGGTACCCGCTTCCCTCAGCGTGCCCAGGCAGCAGCAGCGAGGAGAGGAGGCACCTCAGCAGCTCGGGGATGCAGGTTTGGGATGCTGCATGATGGAAGAAACCACTGCCAAAGCAGATTTGCGAATAATGCAAGGCCTGAGGGCGCTCCAAAACTCATAATTAGCTCATTAAAGAGACAAATACAAGTCACTAATAAGATCTTAGAGGTTAATTAAATGTTTCCCCCATCTTTAATTTAGGGAAAACTAGTTAGTAGAGATTAAAGTAATTTCTGCAGCCTCCCGTGATGACCCTCGATGGCTGAGGATTTGAAAAACTATTGAGATTATTGAACTGAAAGGGCAGAGTTTGGGTGAATTGTGGAGAAGCTGGAATTTTCCTCCTAAGGGTTAGAAAGGCGCTGCTCTGTCAGCTGGGCCGCTCATGGAACACGGGAAGGTGATCCAGAGCTCCCTCTCCCTAAGCCAGGAGCTGGCATTTATTCAGAACTGCTGCTCTTCATTGTTTTGTTCAGCTGGGAAATTCCTGCAGACTCTTTTACAAAACATCTCCCAGGATTGGGGTTTGCTGCCCAGCTGTCCCCTGATGACTGTGTCACCCCCACAAGTTGGTTCAGCAAAACCCCACTGCCTGCCTGCCCCAGAGGTTTCCAAAGGTTTCCTTTTATCCATGATCCCACAAACCCACCCGGAGCGCTCCCAGTTAACGCAGATCAGCGAGGTTTATATGGAAGAATATTTAATCTGCTCAGGGAGGGGAGAGGGCTCATCTCTGGTTTTATTTCTTAAATATTTCTCTCTACTCCAGAAAAGTCCATTTCTTGCCAGAAAAGGTCCAATATAAATTAGAACGAAGGGAGGAGGGTGCTGGTGGGGTGGCCACAGTGACCACAGGGATCCCTTGACCATGATGACCACGGACATCCCTTGACCATGATGACCACAGGGATCCCTTGACCATGATGACCATGGGGACATCCCTTGACCATGATGACCACAGGGATCCCTTGACCATGATGACCATGGGCATCCCTTGACCATGATGACCACAGGGATCCCTTGACCATGATGACCATGAACATCCCTTGACCATGATGACCACAGGGATCCCTTGACCATGATGACCATGGACATCCCTTGACCACAATGACCACAAGTATCCCTTGACCATGATGACCATGGACATCCCTTGACCATGATGCCTTGACCATGATGACCACAGACATCCCTTGACCGTGATGACCATAGGGATCCCTTGACCATGATGACCACAGGGAGCCCTTGACCATGATGACCATGGACATCCCTTGACCACAATGACCACAAGGATCCCTTGACCATGATGACCACAGACATCTCTTGACCACGATGACCACAGGGATCCCTTGACCATGATGACCATGGACATCCCTTGACCATGATGACCACAGACATCTCCTGACCACGATGACCACAGGGATCCCTTGACCACAATGACCACGATGACATCCCTGGGCCGCAGTCCTGGCAGCCCAGGTGCCAGCCCGGCAGCGTGCCCTGGTGATGGGCTCAGTCCCACCCGAAATCCTGCCCTGTCATCTGATAAAACTTCATGTTGAAGGGTCTGTAGAACTCCCGCAGGCGCTGCACCACCTGCCCGTCGATTTTGGGATGCGGCCGCCCCTTGGATTTCCCCAGGCAGCGGGGTTTGCTCCCCCCCTCCGGCTTCTTCAGGCAGGGAAAGCCCTTGGTCTCATTAAAATAGAAATGTTTGTCCGTCACCACCCTCTGGAGCCCCAGGAAGTCCTGGACACGGCCCATCTCCCCGGCAGGGTCGCTGACCAGCCTCTCCCCGCTGACAAAGAGGAATTTGGAGAGCGGGAAGTACTGCAGCCAATTATCCAGGTGCTTGGCGTAGATCCCGATCCTCACCGCGCTCCAGCTCGTGTCGATCAGTCCCGTGCTGAGGTTTTTGAAGGCCAGAGCCTGGAAGCTGGGGATGGAGGGGTTTTTGGAGAGGGTCTGCGTGTAGTCCGAGATGGCGCGGGTGACGGGGTTGCGCACCACCACGATCAGCTTCGTGTCCCGGGACATGTTGTAGATGCGCCGCGGGGCCTCCTTGGTGACAAAGTAGCTGGGGGTCTTCTCCATGGTGATCTGTCCCTCCAGGGTCCGTGGCATCAGGCTCCTGAGGAGAGAGGGACACGGTCAGGACCCGATGGGGAAAAAGCCCCAAAACCCGGCCAGAAACGCTCGGGGGATTCCCAACCACAGCCGCATCTCCCCTTCCCCTCCTGCCCCGCCTGGTCACATCCCCCTGGGCACCTCCTTAATCTTCAGAGCCCTTCCCCGTGCTCCAGCCTCTCTGCCCATCTCAGCATTCCCTTTGTCCCCTCCAGAGTCCATCCCTGTCACTCCAGCAGCATCCACAGGGCACCTGCAGGCTGCTCTTCCCCCTTGGAATTCTCCCCCAGCCCCTTCCCAGCCCTGGAAATCCCAGTTTCAGCTGGTGATGGGTGTCTCAACACGAACATTTCAGGACAGGGCTGGTTTTCATCCCTTCCTCCAGTCAGATTTCATGTCCTGGAGGTTTCAACTCGCCCCGTGGGATTGCAGAGGAAAATCCCATCACGGGGGTGATGCCCAAGCAGCAGCCGGGGGTGGAGATGCCCACCAAGGCTCCCTCCTCCTCTGCCTCCAGACAAGGAGCAGTTCAAGCCAGAAAAAGACTGTTTCCTTTGCGAAAGAAAGGCAGAAAAACCCTGAGGGCCCAGCCATTGTGCTGGGTAAAATTCACTGCTCCGATTGTTCCCCTCGCGCACTTTAATGAGGCATTAATTGCGGCAGAAATTACCCAGCCACGTCAGGGTCCTCCCTGCCACCAGCACCGGCACCTGCCCCTCTGCCCTCCACATCCTCCTCCAGCTCCAAGGGGAATCACAAAACCCTGGAATGTTTGGGAAGGGATCTCTCAGATCATCCATGGGCAGGGACATTTCCACCGTCCCAGGTTGCTCCAAGCCCTGTCCAGGCTGGCCCGGGCCACTTCTGCGGATTCTCTGGGAATTCCACCCAAGGATGCTGTGCCTGGCAGGGAGCCGGGTCCCCAGGGCTGTGCTGGGGGACCTCGGCTCTGCCCAGCACCATCTGCTCCTTATGTAATGGGAAAAGCTTGAGGTTTCTGGGGAATTTTTCCCCTGGACTCAGGAAAGAACACTTTATTAAAAGCATTTGCGAGCCACGCTGGGCCCCCACAGCTCCCTCCCCCAAACAAGAGGCAGAAGCCATTTGTGGCTTTCCCCCCCCCACTTTTATTTTACTTCTTTATTTTAATTTTTCTTTTTAATTTTAATTTTTATTTTTATTTTTCATTTTTATTTTTATATTTATTTTTATTTTTATATTTATATTTATTTTTATATTTATTTTTATATATTTTTTATATTTATATTTATATTTATATTTATATTTATATTTATATTTATATTTATATTTATATTTATATTTATATTTATTTTCATTTTCATTTTCATTTTCATTTTCATTTTTATTTTAATTTTTTCACGGTGCCAGCATTTTTAGAGCTCATTCCTGTCCCTGGTGCTCTCACCTGGCAGTACAACCCCTCTGTTTGGCACCTGTGGGATGCCCTTCAAGCATCCGTGAATCCCGGGGCAGTCTCGGGTGCTTTTCCCATCCTATCCAGCACTTTCCCCACCCCAAATAACTGCACTCAACCGACTGACAGAGCTCCTGCTGGGCAGCACCTTCCCAGGGATTAGAGCCATCCCTGTCCCCTCCCTGTGCTGGTCCAGGGTCAAGGAAAACCCAACGGATCTGGATCCACATCTCCAGCTCCTGCTGGGGCTTCCAGCCAAGCATCCTTGACTTGAATTCCATTCCGAAAATGCCACAGGGTTTTCCAGGCTGCTTCTCCTGGCAGCTTCCTGAGGCATCCCTGTGGTGTTTCCCTGGATGCCTCTGGGATTTCTGAACGGCTCCTTCTTCATCCTCACCCGATCCCAACCCTCTCAGCAAAGCTGAAGCAGTCTCACTCCTCAGGGGGAAATAAATTGTTTATTCCCAGCAGCGAACGCTGGGGATGGGAGACCCTGCAGAGCCCAAAGCACATCCTGGCCCTGGACACTTCCAGCCCCTCTGGAAAACCTCTCTTATCCCTCCCTTCCTCCTGCAGAGCGACATCCAGGGCAGCCACACCACCCACAGCTTAATTACAATGTAATTAACAGAAGTTATAATGAGGCTCCTGTGGCTGTGATGGGGTGCAGGGACCGAACTGCCCCATCCCAGGGACATCCCGGGGACATCCCAGGGCCATCCCAGGGACATCCCGGGGACATCCCAGGGACATCCCAGGGACATCCCAGGGACATCCCGGATCCCGCTGGGAACAGCAGCTTCCAAGCGTTCATTGTGCAACACCTCCTCTTCCTTCCAGCTCCTCCCAGGATAATTAAGCACTTCACATTTTCATTAACATCCTAATACTTCCCCTAAATTACCCCGGTTAATTATTGATAACACCCAGCTCCCTCCAGATCTGGCTTCAACTGGCGAAGAGCAGAGCCGGCTTTGTTGGGCTTCGCTTTAACCTAAAGATTGGGAACTTTAATGGAATTTACAGTTAATTTTTATTGACCTTCAGAGAGCACCGTGGGAATGCCAAGCAGAGCCTGCAGGTCCAGGACACGGCAGTGGGGAATTGGAAGGAATTGGGATTTCCAGAGGAGGCTCTGTGCCCAGGAGGAGGGGATAAAAGCCTTTTACTTCTCTATTAAGCTGATAAATTTTTAATTAATAAAACAACTGGCGCTTGAGAGGCAGCAGAGCAGAGGTTTCCTACATGGAGACACTCAAGGCATGAAAATGCTTCCTCGGTTAAGGTAACACACAATAAATTACAGCAGATAAAATGATGATAAAAATGCAGAAAACTGCATTAAATAGTGATTAACAGCCACAGCAGGCAGGGAATCAAAGCAGACTTCAAAAACTGGGCCAGCATAACTTTCCAGAGTTAATTGGTTCACGATTCCTGATGATTTTTGGAGCAGAACTCCTCCCAGCACCGAGCTGAGAGATCAGGGGATGCACTTTTGGGAGATAAATAAGTGTCCAGCCCAAAGCATCCCTGAGTTATCACCCACGGCAGCTCCAGGAAGGAAATGAACTCAATCCCAGCCCAAAGCAGCCGTGCTTGCCCCATCCCAGACCTCTCCATGGCCTCTGCTTCCCCCAGGAATCAGCACAGGGCGGCTGAACTGGGAGGGATGAACTGGGAGGGATGAACTGGGAAGGATGAACTGGGAGGGATGAACTGGGAAGGATGGGCTGGGAGGGATGAACTGGGAGGGATGAACTGGGAGGGATGAAATGGGAGGGATGAAATGGGAGGGATGGGCTGGGAAGGATGGGCTGGGAGGGATGAACTGGGAGGGATGAAATGAGAAGAACAAACTGGGAAGGATGAACTGGGATGGATGAACTGGGAAGGAGGAACTGAGAAGGATGGGCTAGGAGGGATGGGCTGGGAAGAACGAGCTGGGATGGACAAACCTAGAGGGGATGAAGTGGGAAGGACAAACTGGGATGGATGAAGTGGGAGGGATGAAATGAGAAGAATGAACCGGGAAGGATGAACTGGGAGGGATGAGCTGGGAGGGATGAACTGGGAAGGACAAACTAGGAGGGATGAAATGAGAAGAACCAACTGGGATGGATGAACTGTGAACTCCCCAAGGCGCCCAGGACCAAATTATCCCACGTTCCTTTTTATCCTAATGACCTGGCTGCTCCCCCTCGCCCTCCCCAGCAGGTCCTGGCAGAGCCCCCCCAGCGCTCCCCAGCCCCGAGCTGCCTCCATTAATTTTGATTCTTTCACCAATTCAAAAATGTGCAAATGAGGCCGAGGCTTCCCAATCAGGCCTGGCCGGGAGCTAATTGGCTTTAAGCAGGGAGCCCTGAATATGCTAATGAGGGCAGTAATAAGGCTGTGATGCTCCTGGAAGGGGAGCCAAGCCCTGGGCTCCACCACGGGCTGACTGAGACACGTCAATTAACGAGCAGGCAGATCATTTATTAATGTCCCTTCGCAGCCCTCTGCCCCTTGCTCCTAATTACAGTTTGGTACATGAAACAGCGGGGGGGTTTGGCGGGTCCTGCTCCCAGCTGGAGCATCCCCAGGGGCTCCTCCTGCCCCCCAGAAGCTCCAGATCCCCCCCCTGCCCCATAGGGGACCACGCTGTGGGGTCTGCAGCCCACACAAAGGAGCCAGAGCTGTCCCACAGCCCCCCGGGACGGGCTCTCTGTGTTGGGTGAAGTCTCAGAGGAGGAGGAAGATGCGGTGGATTGTGCCAGGCTGCTCCCTGGAGGGGCTGAGCCCCAAAGACCCTCCCCGAGGGGCTGCAGAGCAAGGGAGAGGCAGCCCTGGGGTCTGGGGGGGCTCTGGGAAGGGCTGGGAGCCGCGGAGGTTTGGGTTGGAAGTGGCTCCAGATCCGGAGATGCGGAGTGGAGCCAAGGGGAGAAGCTGGAGCCGATATTTGCATTTCTAATGATGCTGCTGCTCCCTGCAGACACCCGACACCCGGTTATTAACCCCCCCAGGATCCGGGGCTGGCCAGCACCACTGCTTTTCCCATCCAGAAATCCCCCCAGACCCCTTGGCATCCCAGATTTCCCGGTGGGAAGGTGTGGAAAAGGCCATGTCCCCCCACCCTGCGGTCCCCACACCCACTGCAGCTCCCACAGCCCAGAATTTCCATCACATTTCCTGCTCATGTGGATGGCCAGAGGGGGATGTTTTCCTGGCATGGTTATTCCAGCCATTCCTTAGGGTGAAAGGGCTCTGCTGGATTATGGAGAGCAGGAATCAGCCTCAATCAGGGCACAGCTCCTGCCCTGCACTGGAGGAGAGGCTCTTTGGTCTCTTAGTGGGGTTTGGGATGAGCCATCCTCACCCTTCTCCACCGTGGAGCAGCTACAGGATATGGGGTCACCCCAAAATGCCACCTGAAATGCCCAGTCACACCTCTCACAGATGTCTGTCCCTGATGGGATCCAAAATGAGCACCCAGGGACTTCTCCTCCCTGATGGGATCCAAAACGAGCACCCAGGGACTTCTCCCTGCTGGAGTTTGAATAACTGTGAGTGTAAATGCAGGTGAGAACGGGTGGGAAACACAGAACAGCTCCACAAATCCCCAAAAAACCCTTCAGAAAATGGGGGATGG